TTTTTTCTCCCTCATATTTTATGCAATAGGGTTTACAGGCACCAGGGGTAGCGGCAGACGACACCGACACCAAAGACAACCATGTTGTGATCTCATATCAGCTTCCACTGCTGCCAGATTCAAAACAGTGATATGCCGGCACATCATCACTTTACACCATTCGACTTGACGGTGATTACCCGACTGGGTCGTTAAGGGTAGACACCGATTTTTTGAAGTTTTTTTTTTTCATAATCATTAAGGTCTAAGGAAGCTGTTCCTAAAATAATATAGCCCAGTAATGCGTATTTGTCAAGTTATTGGGTCGCAAAGTCAGTTTCATGACCATTTTCGCTTCCGAAACCACCTCAAAAACGGTCGTATTCAACGCCGCAGCACGCGAAAACCGCACCAAGTAGCGCGGCCATTTTGGTCTCATTTTAAAGACGCATTTTTCTATTATCTGTTCCCAGCGGTAGAACGTTTTTCGTCTAGCAACAGCGCAGCTATCCCGCATAAAGAAAACTGAATACTCGCACATCATTGGTGCGTTTTTGTCACGTGGGGCAGTTCCCGGTTTCCTATTGGACGCGAAGGGATTCGTCTGCTAGACAGCGGCGTGCAATAGCAGGCGGTCATCGGAAGTTCCGGAGTGCTCATGCGTTCGGAAAAAGGCGAAAACGGCGTCAGAGAGCCCGCACCTTATCACCAGCGAGACCTTCTGCCGCCGAGAACTCTGAAGAAGCGGGCTGTGCCAGCGCTATCACCGCCGCGGCACCCGCGATCGCGGATGCGATAGCCGCGTCCCAAGATCACACGAGAGCTGTGCGCGTCGACACTCCCCTGGTTTCCGACGCTGAAAAAGTGGCCATCGAGTGTCGTGCGAGCGATGTTCTGCAAGATCTTTCATCGAAGTCTGCCACAAAACGCAAGCGGTCTTTTTTTTTTCGAGACTCAGATGGAGTCGCAACGCCTGGTACGCTGTTCACCGTCGTTAGCTTAGAGTTGGTCAACGAACTTCTTCAGTGTATGAAGTGCGGTGTGTGTGGCGGGCCTGGCAGAATCTCCAAGGAAGACCGCGAATATGGCATAGCCACGAAACTTGTTCTCACATGTGACGAGTGCGGTAAACTGAGGACCGTATGGAGCTCGCCGAGAGCAGGGGGGGGACGCAGCGCACGGCCCCTTCGAAATTCACGTGCTTGCGGTTCGCGCAGCAATGAGCACAGGAAACGGGCAAACTGCGCTCAACGATATTTTTTCCGCCCTAAATATTTCACGGAGAGGCCTGCACACCAAGACATACCAGGATTATGTGAAATTGAAAATGAACCCTGCCGTGCAGAAGGCTGCCGCGCGCGTTATTGACGACTGCGTGAGCACCGTGAAAACGGTGTATTCCGAACTCAACTATGGAAATCCTGGAAATATCGCCGTTTCCTTTGATGGGACTTGGCTGACCAGGGGCCACTCATCCCATATTTGTGTAGGGACCGTGATTGAACTATTCACGGGTTATGTGCTCGACTTCGTCGTACTATCGAACTTTTGTTTGGGCTGCCAGCTAGGGCCGAAGGAGGACAACCCAAGGTATGCCGAGTGGCTAGCTGGTCACACTTGCCAAAAGAATACCTCCAGTAAGCCAGGACAAATGGAGGTGGAAGCAGCACAAATTTTATTTGGCCGCTCATTGGAGAGACATGGGCTCCGCTACACAACCATGTTGTGTGATGGAGACAGCCGGGCCTTCAACAGTCTGCAGGAGGCACAGGTATATGGCTTCATGCCAATAGAAAAAGAGGACTGTGTCAACCATGTGCATAAGCGCATGGGCACAGCACTTCGAAACCTCCTGCAAAAACAAAGAGCCGAAGGAAAGCCAAGCCTTGGTGGCAAGGGCAAACTGACAGGCGAGCTGGTCACAAGGCTCACGTCATATTATGGATGGGCTTTACAAAGCAACCAAGGAAGCATTGAGGCCATGAATAATGCTGTCTGGGCAACCTTTTATCACGTAGCATCTACTGATGCAAGCCCTCAGCACTCTCACTGCCCAACTGGTGAAGAGTCATGGTGCAAGTACAACAAGGCTGTTGCCAAGCAGGAGACTCCTCCGAATCATCGCTACAACCTGCCGGAGTATGTGGTTGATGCCTTGCGGCCTATTTACATGCGCCTCTCTGATAAGAAATTGCTGGAGCGTCGTCAGCGAGGCAAAACACAGAACCCAAACGAGAGCCTGCACTCCGTCATCTGGTCGCTCGTGTCCAAAAACAAACGCGCGTCGCTTTTCACCGTTGAAGCTGCTGTGGCCGAAGGTGTCGCAAGGTTCAGCGCTGGCAAAGGGAGAGCAGATGCGGCCATATTGAAGGAGCTGCACCTGCAGCAGTGTTGTGGCCGCTGAAAGATGCTCAGAAAAGGACAGTCGCCGACTAGTGGCATCGGAGAAGAAGCATGAGCATGCTGAAAACTTCAAGCATGCCATGAAAAGAAAGCGCACCAAGGAGAATGATGATGACTACATTCCTGATGGCTTCTAACATGGTTAATACACCGATTCCACACCTTTTCTTGTTAAATATAAGTGCTCAGCATGTTCCTAAACTTCTTTTGTTTTCTCAAAACATAAATTTTGTTTTCTCAAAACAAAATTTTTCATCACACACTAAGCCATTGCCCACAGTATTTTTTGATGTAGCAGTTGGATTTTGATAATTCTTGCAGCATTTGAAAGCTTATACATTGATTAGTGCAAGAAAACCAAAAATATGTAATATTTTTATTTACAATAGTGATTTAATTAGCAACAAGCTTAAGCAACAGTTTCAGATTTCTAATGAGTTTACTTGTTAAGGCCATAACTCTGGTACCAATGAAGCTAAAAATAAAATTATGGTTTTGTTGCACTCCCTGGCCTTCATGGAATGCTGTCATATCAAATTTGTAGCAATATTTTATGAGGAAGATGTTAAAAGGCTGGGCAGAATCTAAAAGTGATAGCAAAAAACTAATTGCATATTTGTTTTCAGCTGTGAAGAATACATATTGTATTAAAATTTCAGCTGGAAATACTGAAAAAAAAAAACTTTTCAGACCAGTGTCTCCCTTTAAGTGCAATCGTGTGCATGTGCTCCAGGAGATTTGGCCTGATGTTCTGATTATGCTCATACATGCTTGTATATTTTGATCTCCTGCAAAATAAAAAAGATCACTTGGTGGTTGCTGTTCATTTTTCTGCTGTCCTTTTTTCCTGTGTTCTTGCACTGAGCTGCACGCTGTCACGATCCAGCACAAGTTTGCCTGAGCTCCTACTCTTGTACGGTCATTTCAGAAGTACCTATGATGACCCTCTACCATGCCAGTTGCTATCGTCAGTCGGCATCATCCAGTTTCTGTTGCCTAAATGAACACTAGAAAGAAAGAATGGCTTGATTTAGATTGACAAGCTGCACTTGAGTAATGCCATGCGTTTCACTATCATACATTCATTTTTATCGAAGAAAATCCAAGGTGAAGTTTCATTTTTAAATTTCGCACTGCACAATTTGCTCGTAACGTCAAAAATTTCTAACCGTATTTTTTCTATTCTCGCAACATTGGCCTGGTGAGGCTTTCTGAAACTTCATATGCTATTTTGATGGCACCAACAGATGGCAATCATTTTCAGTCATTAAAAGCTACATAAGACTACCGTATTTACTCAATTCTACCGCGCCCTCGATTGTAACGCGCACCCGATTTCCACCGCGAAAAAAAAAAAAAAAACGTAAGACATTGATTGCAACGCGCACTCATTTTTCTCGCTGGCCCGCACGATCACACCACTCGAAAAAACGACTCCTTTCGGGAGCGTCTTCTATTTAAATATAAGGTACGGGCGAAGCTTGTGCCCATCTGACGTGTAACAGAGCATTGCCGTCACTGTAGTATTACCGTGGACCGATGTCAGCACGCGAACTTCCTTCACCCCCTTCTTCTCGACGGTTGTGGTGCCAGGCATGTCGAAGTAAAGAGGCGTCTGATCGGCATTCCCGATTTGCCCAAGCAAGTAGCCGTTGTTGCGCCGCAAGTTTAGGACGAACCTGTGAAAACTGTGAAGCTTTTCATCGTACTCCTCCGCAAAACTTTTCGCATATGCATGTTCCCCTTCGGAGGGAAAAGCCTTTCCTCTTCATAAAGTTAGTTAGCCAGCACCTGCTTGCTTTAAACTGGCTCCGCATTAGACCGTTTTCTAAGACTAATTGCATAGCCCGCACTTGGAGCAGTTCTGTCGTCACGGGCCGCTGTGCCACTCGCTGCTCAAGCACATACTCGCCGAGCAGCTCTTCAATTTGCGGAAACCGACCCTGCTGTGGTCCACTGAAGCCTTTGCGTGAAGCTTTGCTGTCGACAATCTTCTGCTTTTGTTTCCGCCGGTCCCGCACGCACGTTTCGGGAACTCCGAACGACCGCGATGCGGCCCGATTTCCGTCCGTTTCTGCACACGCGATGACTTTTCTTTTAAAAGCGGCATCGTGGTGCACTCAAGTTTTTGGAGTCGGCCCTTCCACACCGTCGATGCTAATTCACTACTAGATGACGAACTCCTCAGCACACGTACGAAGTGCCGCACATGGGAAACACATAGGCAGAAATGGCCGACGCGCCATGCCGACGCACGTAGGGGGCGACCATTTTGGATTTGCCGATTGCAATAGATTGACCGTAATTTTTTTGTTCGTACTCGATTCTAACGCGCATGGGATTTATGAACTCGCTTAACCGGAAAAAAGGTGCGCGTTAGATTTGAGTAATTACGGTATGTTTGGTGTGAGAATCTCAAGGTGGCGTGTCCATCTACACTTTTCTACGCATTTTCTCGCTTACCAAGCGTCGTGTCGCAGTAAAAGTGGTGTTTTCGGGATTGCAAAATACGCGAAATACGTTAATACGCAAAATATCGTTTTTCTCTTTAGTGTCTCTTTAAGCATGAAGGCCCCAAGTTTTGCCCTTTTTGTTGAAGTGGCTGTCTCGTGTTGCAGGTCACGGTCACGTGAACGGCGTCACCGGAGTCGCTCGGGATCGCGGGATCCCTCTGCGCGCCATCGTTCTAGAGGCTCTCCAAGAGACCGGAAGCGCGACCGTAGTCGCGAGAAGCGGCGAGACAGTCGGCATCGGCGGTCGCCTCGCGAGCGCAGGTACATAAAGTCTTTGCCTGCTGGTGTTCACAATGGTTGAACACGGGCGTGTGAACATTTAAATTTTGGAGAATATTTTTCTTATACTGTTTGCTGTTTGATTCAATTAGCACTGGTATTTTGCTATTTGAACTTCTAAGTAATAGCAATGGTAATGGAAAATCGGCATCCAGCAAATTTAGTCGTGTGTTTTGGGGCTCCAGCATGCGGAACTGTGGGCAAGGTCATCACACTAGCAGACATGCAAAAGCGAAGAAGCCAAAAAGTGCTTCATTGCAAGCAGCAGGTGGGGACACCCGCTGACACCTTCGAACGGTGTACTAGTATTTCACGCATCAGCAGCAGCAGACTTGCCAACCAAGCTTGTCGCTCTACTTGTCGCACAGCAACTGCTTGGAGCACCAGTGGAAGCTTCTAGCAGTTACGCTAGTCGGGGCCCCAAAATGCAAGACCTTAGTACGCTGTGCGCCAATTTATCCCAATTGATCCCTCTGATGGGTGCAGCTCTAAATTATATATGAGGTACACTGAAGAGAAGCAATTAGTTTGTCTTGTATGAGTAAATTGCCCTTCCCATGCATGAAGTCGCTCTGACATACCATTGTTGGGTTTTCATTGCCACTGTTTAGTAAAGCTCCTTTGACGTTGATTTTCTCTTCTGTTCATGAACCTGCGATTGCAGAAGTAACTGCTCATATTTACTTGTAAAATGTCATTTTATCATAATATATGTATTCAAGTTCTACGTGAACTACTACATCTTTGATATAAGTTTTTCAGTCGTTTCCATTTTTGTTGTCAGCGCTTGTGTGCGAACTGTCGTTTCAGGTGGGAGGACCTCAACGGGCTTGAATGCCTTTAGTCCTCTCCTTCCGAAGTGTAACTTTTTTGCACTTGGATAAGAAATCAATTCACTTCAACCGTAGACTTCCAAAAACAATAATTTGTCCGTGTACGTTGATTTGCTGTTTCACTTTTATATCCTGAAAAAAAGCCTTCCCACATGTTCATTGTGCAGAGGTTCGCGTGAGAGAAGACAAGAGCGGGCTGATAGCGAGGAAAACCACAGACTGGAAAAGTGAAGCACCCCATCACTGTGAGTGCTGTTGAATCTTGTGCATTTGACGGGTTATATGCTCAGATTTGGGTGCATGTTAAAGAACCCCAGGTGGTCTAAACTTCCGAAGCCCTCCACTAAAGCGTCTCTCATAATCATATGGTGGTTTTGGGACGTTAAACCCCACATATCAAACAACCAGTTATATGTATTGCATTGTGTTGTTGTTGCTGCGAGTCGTGGTAGTGGGGATCGTAAAAGAGAGTGGAGCTTCAATTGTAGGACAAGCGTGCTTGATTTACACCCTCATTTGCAGCAAACCGTCGGCTTATCTCCAAAAATCTGTTAGGATTGAATTCTCTCCAGGAATGTTCCGTGGCACGCGCTGTAAAATGCATTCTTTTGCAGCCTGAGGGGCCCAGCACTCTTATTGAGTAAGGGTGTTTGGGGAAGTCACCTCGCTACATCAAAGTGTTTGCCATATTTACACGATTGTAAGTCTGCCCGCACAAATAAACTTTAAACAAAAAATGTACACATGTGTGCATTCAGCTATTGAAATTTATTACGTTGTTGTTGGGACTGACCACACTCAAACTTCATAATAATGAAGTCGCATTTTACATGAAGATAAGTTCATTGTATAAGTATATTCTTAACCCTACATATGTTGCAAAAGTATTCTTTTGACTTCGTTATATCGATATTTAAGTATATCTGGGTTCGTTATGTCGATGTTTGAGTGTCCTTGTCCTCACTGTCCATTGTCAAGCCACTTGGAGTGCATTCTTGGTGTTCCAGTTTTGGAGGGGACGACATCGACTTTTTGCGTGGCCATTCCAATTGTCATTGGTGAAGACTTATTGCGTAGTTTAGGCATATATGCTGCAAGTGTCAGAAGGCATTTGGACTTGGCCCGCGAAAGCCTCAGCTCCTGGCGTGACGCACAAAAATCTGGTCACGTCGTTGTCACAACTGTTGCAGCACCCATTCAGAGACCTTTAAGGGGGGACACGGGTCTTAAGAAGGTCGAAAATGGGGAAAAAAATCGACTTTAAGTTGACATTTTTGGAATCTGCAACTATTTTTGCATTTGTCTGAGAAGTTTCTAGCCTCTTGCGTCATTATTTCTGGCACAAAATCAATTTATAACACCCCTGTGCGATGAGTCTGAGCAAAAATAGATGCTTAAGTCGCGCTTTTTCCACGCCGTACCGTTGCTGTTACACAGAGCTATCGTGGTCATCTTGGTCTCGTTTGGAAGGGTCGTTCATCTTCAATTTCCCGCCACCAGTGGCTCGCCTTGCTCATTGGTTTTTCAGCAAAAACGTACCATCGAGAAGCACCAGCGCGCGATCTATTGGCTGCTTGGGGCACGTGATAAAACCTAGGCACCCGGTTGGCCAAGTGGCCTTTCCGGTGTCTGCTTCTTTATCGTGACACGCACGGACATGCGCCATTTTGTCTTGGTGCTGTCGACTGCCTGCCGCAGTAAAGATGTTCCGCGAAACACTAATTTGTGAAGCGAGTGTGGCGATTGTTCGTTTGCTGTGTAACGACGCGTCCGCAACGAACATATTGCGCTGTGGCCTCCACTTCAAAATGTGGCAATTTAGGTGAAAAAGGAATTAACACCTCGCTGCTCTTGCAGCCTTGAAATTGTTGAGCGATGCGCGAGTTGGTCTGCGACGTCAACAACTCAATCTGGACAAGCCGGAAACCATCGTTTTATTATACGATGGATCGCGGATGACGCACGCACATTCGTCGCACATAGGCGTCACCGAACTGATAGTGGCCTAGTTGGCAGCTGAGCCCATGCCGATCGCATCAGCTCGCAAGTGTGCCTCTATTGAAAACATGCTGTGGGCGTTGAAAAAACGTCATTTAGGTGATGCAAAACACGACTACATGCCTGGTGCCTACTGAGAAAGCTGAATTTGCAAATCATTGTAAATAAACAGCTTTTCCATGCTACTGTCTGCCCAAAATGGACTTGTGTTTTTGCATGATTTTTCAGGATTCAAATTTTGCTGCAGTTGCAAACTTGTCTAAAGATATCTCTGCCTTCAGAGCAGCTAGGACTGTCATTTTTGTTGTGACATGTAGCCGTATCTTTATTTTACACAATGGTAGGTGTGAATTTTCTATTGAGACCTTCAAAAATTTTATTTTTGCCAGAAATCGGAGCGTGGGTGTGTCTGCAACACTGAAATGCGAGGTGCGACAAACCTTGCTAAAATTATGAAATCAGAAAAGCACTCCTACCGTTGTGTGCCTTATGTTCATTAGTAAACAGGCATGTGTCAATAATAGCTCTGCAATACAAATTTCTTGTGTCATCATACCAGGAAACAATAGGTAATTAGTTTTAGGATATCTCAAAAACTAATTGGTTTAGAGGAAAAGTAAATACATTTTCGAAATCAGCATCAAAAACTTACACTGTGATTTTTTTTATAAACACATGAAAATATGTGGCATTCCTTACCAAGTACAGTGTCCCCCCTTAAACGTCCCACCATGCAGTTACCAGTTTATTTCTCGCTGAGGATACGGGCCCTCTGCAAGACTGCATAGTGAGCACTGAAAGTTTCTTGGGGCCGGAGTGTCCATGACCACAAAGTATCAAGCTCGACAGTAGTATGTGCATACCTGCCAAATCTTCTGATTTTCCTGTGAAACGTACAAATTTTGACCACACTTACGATTTTACGCATCTTGTCTGAAATTTTACGAAAACTATTTCATTACTAATAAAAAAAATAATTAGTAAAATACCATGGCCTCTGCGATTGGCTGCGGGGCATTACTGTAGCTAGTCGCGGAGACCACAGAAACTGTGTGCTATATTGCGCCACCAAGAGAGAACAGTATGTATTTACCGTATTTACTCGCATAATCCTCGCACTTTTTTTGCTGGAAAACCAATGAAAAGTTGGGAGGTGCGAGAATTACGCAGGGAAAACTTTCTACGAAAACGTACAGAGCGAAAGAGAAAAGTGGCCGCAAATCGGGATTCTCACACCAGCAACTAACAGCAAGCTTTAAGAAGTACTAAATAAAACTTACCTCAACAATAAAATCAGAGGTTCAACACAAGACAAGATTTATTTGAGGCACAAAATTGGAAGCAAATAGTAGAGAATTAGAATACCATACGCAAAGCTTGCGGACGTTGCGGGCGTAGCGGTAGGGTTCGGAACAGGAGCCCTCAAAAGGTAAGCGTGGAACGCCAGTATTGGGCTGATGGCTATTTAAGGGGAGATGCTACTCGAAAAACGATTTTCTTTAATAAGAGTCTGAATTTAACACAAATTGGCATGCTAATAGAGTTTTTTCTCCTCTTTTCAAATATGTCATTTATTTTCATGTAGATTACTTGGTTTTCTTTCTGCAGGTAAGATACTGCAAAATTATGGCCATTGTTATGCAACAATTCTGACCTATAAAAATTTGAGATAAAGCATGCAGATAGAGCTGACTATGATCCTTTGGAACTGTAGAGTGCAAAAAACTATATAAATTTTGTGTGTAAAAAGGTGAAATACAATAATAAAATAGAAAAACTTACTATGGCTCTAGTTGCCAAGGGCTTTCAATGTTATGTAATTTTTGAAAAACATAATCAAGCAGCACTGACAATCTGAATAGATACTTGCACTCTATGGGCCTTCATCATGCTATGTGCAAAATTTCATAGAGGTATGACAATTCTAAGTATACGAACTAGCGTGTATAAGAAGCACAGATCACACAAAACTGCAAAAGGAGAAAAACGCATTTGAAAGTTTGAAACCTTTTTTTTTTATCACAGAGTTGTTAGAAATGCATAATCTTTGGCCATAATGTTCAACAGAACTTTGAAAAGCACTGCAAGTTACTAGAACTGTCCTGCAGCATAGGTTGTGCCCTCACGGTCCTTGCGAGCACTCTCTTCTAGCTGTGCCCTTTTCACTCCACGACGACGGTGGGCCCTTGCTTCTGCTGTCAGACGCTCGGACATTCTCTTGATGCGCCTCGCATCGGGGGAATCACTGAAAGTAACTAGATCTCTAGATGGCAGTATGTTGAGCTCTTCCAGGATGTGCTCGAAAGTAGCATGACCCTTGTTGAACCACAGGATTGCCATAGCTACGGCAGTCTCGACAACCGTTCGGGGGACAAACTTAGTCTTGGGGCAAAGTAGCCAAATTTTGCCGTTCAGGGATTCCGATGCGTTCTGGGTTTTCCCTTTGATGCATCGAGCAAGGAGCTTCTCATCCGTTAGCCGCTTATAAATGGGAAAAACAGCCAATCCCTGTGCTTTTGTCAGGAGAGGTGTGTGGCGTGGTGCAGGTTCACCAAGTGCTTCAGCGCGTTGATGTTTGCACCACGACTCTGTTCCTGCAGGGCAAAACTTGTGGCTGCTAGCATTGTCAGTAGAGCATGAATGGAAGTACGAAGCCCATACTGCAGTGTACATATCTTGTACACTCCCCCTGTTGCTTGTTATGGCAATCTGATAGTATGTTTGGAGCTTCTGAATGGCTGGCTCTTTCATTTTCTGCCCTTGTGGTAATGGCACATGCAGCTTCCGTAGCGCGGTGCCAAGTCTCTTGGCCACATGATTAGTGCAGTCTTCTTTTTCTATATTGACAGCACCATAGACTTTTGACTCTGCAACTGCACTATATGCTTTGCTGTCACCGTCACTCAAGAATGTCATGAAATGCAGTGGGGTGTCATAAGTCAATGTTCTCTGCCAAATGCGCATTGCAGCCTCCGTTTCCATGGCATGGGAGGAACAGTCTGCATTTTTTTCACAGACTGGGCCATGGAATGCCTGCCACACTTCCTCGTCTGGGCCCATATTCTTGTGCCTACTGCATGTCAGGCAGTAATTTGATATGACCTCGAAGTCTAAGCAGAAGCCAGTATCTAAGGAGATAACTGCGCCAATCCCGTTGTGGCTTTTGTGGCCCCTCTTCTGCCAAGTGCCGTCGAACATAACAGCCACATCAGTTTCGCCTGCTACTTCTTTCGTCAACTCTCTGGAG